ATATAATATACCATATCAACAGAGCCAAAGAGAAAAATCACATGATTATCATAATAGATGCAGAAAAAGCTTTTGATAAAGTCCAACACTCATTTGTGATAAAACCTGTACAGAAAACCAGAATCGATGCTCTTTACTGCATATGACAAAGGCCATCTATAACAAGCCAATATCAGACTAGAGGGACAAAAACTGAAAGCTTTCACTCTAAAATAAGGGACAAGATGAGGATGTCTACTATCAGCACTCCTACTCAACATAGTTCTGGAAAAATTAGCCCGATCAGGGAAAGGAACCCTTCTCCACTGTTGGTGGGAGTGTAGACGGGTTTAACCACTATGGAAATCAACGTGGAGATCTCTCAAAAAGCTACAGTTGGAGGTCCTATTCAACTGAGCTATTCCCTTTCTTGGTATTTTTCCAGAAGAATTAAAAACATCGGGCCTCAGCGATATACATGCAGCCATGTTTATAGCAGCACAATTTATCATAGCTAAATCTTGGAAGCAATCCAAATGCCCATCAACTGAGGACTGGATGAAAAGGATGTGGTAATTTTATGCAATGGAGTACCACATAGCTAGAAAGAATGATAAAGTTGAGACAGAGATAGGAAAATAAATACAACTTGAGACTATACTCGTAAATGAAATAAATCAGATTCATATGTGTAAACATTATGTTGTCTCCCTCGTATAAGAAGCCAAAGAATAAAACCCAAAATGTACAATAGATATTGTGAAATGGGAAGAAAATACTCAAAAAGGGAGAGAAACTGGTACAGGGGAAAGGAGAAAATAAGGGGGGAATATATATATATATATATATATATATATATATATATATATATATACAAGATAGTTGAGATATTTATACTATTAATTGCTATTAGTTCATTGAAAAGGCAAGTTAATGCCTATATTGTTTGATCAATTTTTCTTTCCTATATCTTATAATAAGAGCAACTACTTTGAAGATCACAATACGCCACATACTGTTAGGTACAAACCCACACAATTGACCGGACCAGGCATTCTGACATGAGTAGAAGAGTTACTGGAGGCAGCAAGCAGGCTGGCTGTGTAGTGGACCAAGACAGCAGTGAGCAAGGCAAAGCACAGGGCTTTTACGGAGGTTTGTGGGGAGGGTGTGTGTGAGCTAGACCAGCTGAGGGAGAGCTAATCTTGGCAGGGCTACCTGGTCTGTGGGGGACCTTCGATGTTAACAAAGGAGAGAGGCTGTGGTTGCTTGCCCAGGTCAAAGTCAGGCAGGCTTGTTCCCCAGTTTTGGGTTTGGCTTTGCATGGGGCCAAGGGGAAGACAGTTTAAGGGGCAGGGTGCCTAGGAAAACAGGGAGAGTGTTTGGGAGAGTGTTCCTGGAAGACTTTGAATTCTAAACTATCACTAACCATTGTTATTCTCCTACAGTCTTGTTTTGAAATTTTACACCATTGTTTTAATTGTTTATTTTGCTTTTAAAATAAAAAAAAATTATCTGCTTTATTTCATTACTGAGAAACCATGACTTGGGGGCTGGGGAGATGGCTCAGTGAAATAAGTGCTTGCCTGGCAAGGGCAAGGGTCTGAGTTCAATCCCCGGTTCTGCCAAAAAAAAAAAAAAAAAAGGAAACCATGACTGATTTCCATCAAGACAGGTACTTATCATTTAGATCTAAAATGTACCCCCAACTCTCATATGTGCAGAGGTGTGGCTTTTGTAAAGTGCCTGAATCATGGGGCACTAGACTCACAAATGGACCATCCATAGCCATGCTCATAGCCAAATATGCTCTTAGGAGATAGAGCCTGGTCAGAAGAAGTGGGTCGATGGGGTGCCTGACCTGGGAGCATGTATTCTTGTCTCTGTCCTTGTCTTACTTCTGCTTCCTGACTACTATGGGCTGGGCAGCTGTCTTCTTCCACTGGGCCCTTCCTCAATGATATTTCTACCTTGGACCAGCCAGCCAACCACAGACTGAGCCCTCTGAACTCGTGAACCAAATTATCCTCTCCTTGAAATTGTGGATATCAAGTATTTTGTCCCAGGGATGGTAAAGTGGCAAATGCAGTACCCAATAATAAATAATGCATGCATATTTAAGATAGTAGACTATTAAGTTTAATTGTTTCAACTTGATTGGCTTGCAAGCTGCCAAGGACATTGATAGAGCACACTTCTGGGCATGTTTGGGTGACTCACAGAGCTGTGGCCTTGGGAACTCACCCCTTCATCTCTGATCCTGTTCTTCTGCTCATCTTCTCGGCCATCACAATCTAAGCATCTTTCTTCCACCATGCCCCTCCCACCGTGATATTTCCACTTTGGAACCACCCAATCAGGAATTGAATCCTCTTGAAACTATGAGCCAAATTAAACCACTCCTTTAAACTGTGGGTATCAAATATTTTGTCCCAATGATGAGAAAGTTGTTGAATACAGATAGAAAAACAGAGACTGAGAAGCATGTTCACATAAGGTGGAAAAAAGAATATACATAACATAATCTATTACTACCCATGCCTCTGTCTTACTTTCTTCTAAATTTCATTTTGAAGATTAAATAAATGTACCTCCGGCCTGGAGGAGCATTTTCAGAATGATATGAACAGAGATCATGTGACATCCGAGAGGGTGGAGCTGCAAACACCGCCTGGGTGCAGAAACCACAAGGATCATGACCCAGGATTCCCTTGGCTGCTGAGCGTGTCCCCTGCCTGCCATGCACCCTCCCAAGCTTCCTGTGGGTATCTCCGCTCTCCATCAGCTCTCCCCATCTATATCCTACCTTCAGGTTTTACTAAAAAGCTTTCCAAAGATGAAGCTCTAGGATAAAGAATCAAATTTTAGAATTATCTAAACTCCAGGAACACTGAAGACATGAAAAGCCACAGAATCAGAGCTTTCAGTGGGTTGATAAATAGCACCTTGTTCTCACCTTAGGTTGCTGTGTTATGGTAATGTAACATGCCACTTTCTATATTTCCTGCCTGAGCCTTTTTATTTATGGGAAAAGACAAAACCAGACATCTATATTTTTTTATTTTGTGAAGTTGGGGGGTAAATCTACAGGCATATAAATGCATTATTTTCTAGATAATGTAGTAAGTGCAGTCCAATAAAGTTTCTCTAAAGGCAGTGTGACTACCTCCATAAAGTAAATTTAAAGATAAAAGCAGTTTGGAAGTCTGTTTTTACTTGTTGAAAAGAATAATGGATGCAGTAAATGAGTTAGAACAAATTTATATTTTTAAAAACCACACCTGTATTTCCTCTACTCAGATGGCTACTTTAGCCATTTTCTTTGTCATCTTTGTCACATATATGCATTTCACAAAGCAATCATTTAAATGTTCTTGTGGGCTTTGCTTTCTAAACTCTATAAACCCAAGCCCAGGGTTCTATAGAACAACAGCCAAAACGTCCGCTGTTCCCTGTGAGCCTATATAAGTTAATTACTATTATTGGCTTAGCTTATGATGACTTCTATTTTGATAATTCCTGTCTCCTGAACAATTCAAACTGCTTTAGCATATTAGAAACCACATGGCAGCTCAGAAGTTCTCCTTGTACCATGTTCTCTTTTAATAGATGGGGAAACTGAAGTTCTCAAGAGGTTTGGGGACCAGCTGGCATTATTCTGGGAGACCCAGGACTGCAGTCCAACTCCCAGAACCTCAAAGCCCCTTTCTTGTCAGCTATAGCTGAGTCCTGCCAGCTCTGAGCATCATCTTGGCCCCGGAGAATGATGTGAAGAGGTGCAGGCCATGGGAAGGCAGCCTCCTTCATGTCATTCTTTCCAACAAAAGAGGACCACCCCTAATCAGAGTTGGCTTGCCTAGCCTTCTCCTAACCTGAGTCTCAGGATGTCATTACTCTTCTGTCTTTTACAATCTGTTCTTTATTGTCCTAGGAAGCCAAGCCCTGAGTCTTGAGTTCCAGAGCAGCTGCAGTCCTGAGCATTGTGCCATGCATTTGGAGACTCTGAACTTGCTAACATGAATGCGAATTTCCCTTCTGTGGAGCCAGATCCAAAGCTGCAGCACTTCAGGGCAGGGTAGATACCTGGCAGAAACTCAGAGCTCCTTGACCTTCGCCAGATCCATTCTCTGCCTGCTGGGCTCATGCAGAAAAGTTTTGTCTGTGCTGAGGGGGTCAGTGCTGTTCACACAGCCAGGGCAGGCTCTCCTGGGCCTGCAGAGACCCCGGGGTGTGCCAAGAAGGTAGAGCGCATGGGACTCACAGGCCTGGGTCTCCTGGCCACTTGAAATTTCCATGATGGCCAACTGAAGTGGAGGCCTCTCAGCTGGGTTTTTAGCATGCCAGCTGTGGACAAGGGAACCCAGAGCCCCTGCCCACTTCCCAGCAGGCTGAGACAGCCATGTGACAGAAGTTCCCTAACAGCTTAACACAGCTGCACTAGAAAGTTCATAGTCTCCTAAAATCCTGAGACACACTATCTTTTTTTTTTTTTTTTTTTTTTAACAGTAGCCACTGCTCAAGGTTTATTTGGCATTGTAGTTGGGGTGACGCTGCGTTGCGCTGTTCAAGGTAGATCTTTTTACATTATATGGCAAAGTACACTACTCATATATATATAATACACAAAACAAAACCCTTTAAGACAGTTATGCACAAGACATGCAGTATTGGATTTGTACACTGGATCCCAGGCTAGAACCAACTGGGGAAAGGTCAGACAAGGCTTGGTGGGTGAAGCTGTGTAACCGAGTAACACACATCTGTTTGAAGAGTAACTGGAGCCTGTGCAGTGAGGTGTCTCAGATGCTGGGCTACTTGATACTAACCAGGACTACAAGTGCAGCACCATCCGGCATCAGGACAGAGCTGTGGAGTTTTGTGAACCGTTTCTACTTCTAACTTTTGGAAACTGATGTTTTCCCCAGGGCGTCTTAAGAGTGCTGCTTCAATCACATGTGAGCTAAGAAGGACAACGGGCACAACTCCAACTAAGCCCTCCTGTAGCCTAGACAGTGACGTGGCGACACTGGAAGACTCTAAAACTGCAGCTCCTTCTGGATTGACCACAGGGTGTCCGCACTCTTCTTCAAACGTGCCTCTTCCTCAGAAGTCAGAGTCACCTTCACAACATCAGAGATCCCATTCTGTCCCAGGACACAAGGGACACTAAGGAAGACATCATCCTTGATTCCATAGAGCCCCTTAATCATGGTAGAAATTGGGTGTACCCTCCTAAGGTTCTTCATTATACTTTCTGCCAAATCTGCCACCAACAGTCCAATGGCCCAGGATGTGTAGCCTTTCAGTTTGATCACTTCATAAGCGCTGTCAACCACCTGTTTGTGAACCTCCTTCCAGTGCTCCTTATCCCCATCTGTTCCTAACTCAGGGTGCAGATTCTTCAGGGCGACACCAGCAACATTCACACCACTCCACACAGGGACGCTGGAGTCTCCGTGCTCCCCAAGGATCCAGCCGTGGCAGCTCAGTGGGTGCACGCCCAGCCTTTCCCCCATCAGGTATCGGAACCGGGCTGAATCTAGGTTGCAACCACTGCCGATAACACGGTTCTTAGGAAAGCCACTTATCTTCCAAGCCACATAGGTCAAGATGTCCACTGGGTTGGACACAACAAGCAACTTGCAGTTGGGACTGTACTTCACAACATTAGGAATGATGAACTTGAAGATGTTGACATTACGCTGCACCAAATTAAGACGGCTCTCTCCTTCCTGCTGCCGGGCTCCAGCGGTGATGATAACCAGCTTGGAGTTGGCGGTTACATTATAGTCTTTGCCAGAGACAATTTTTGGTGTCCTGAGGAAAAGGCTGCCGTGCTGGAGATCCATCATCTCTCCTTTCAATTTGTCTTCCATGACATCAACAAGAGCAAGTTCATCTGCCAAGTCCTTCATCAAGATACTGATGGCACAGGCCATGCCCACAGCACCAACCCCGACAACCGTGATCTTATTCTGGGGCACCTGTTCCTCCTTAAGGAGATTCACAATCAGCTGATCCTTGAGACTGGCCATCTTGGACTTAGAACCACAAGGAACCGGGAATGCACGTGGGGCGGGCGTCGGGGTGCACGCTTCTCAGATCCGGACTCAGCGGCAGCAGCTCCGACACCCACACTATCTTTTTGAATTGTTCTCTTTAAGTTTTACATTATTTTTCACATGGTAAGCCACCGCTTCCCTAGCACTATACAGTCTGAGGAAGAAGGCTGACCCTGCACATGCAGTTCCCGCTTCTGCCCTCTGCACTTGGGTTCGCAGCTCACCCACCCTCGGCGTGCAGGCAGATGAGCGCAGGCATCCAGCGTGGCTGTGAGCACTGTGGGGAAAACCAATGCTAAGAAAATGCATTCGGGAACACCTTCACCCTGCGCAGATGTTTCTTCATGAAAAATAGAGACGTAGACCTGTAAGATTTCAGATACTGATGGGCGGTTTCTTCTGGACAATCAAGAATTTGTCAGGAAAGTTAGACAAAGAGAGCTTTATGTTCATAGATGCTGCCAATAGCACTTGCTCAATACAGCACTGGCTGCTGCACACATGAACATACACACACGCACGCACGCACACGCATGCACGCACGCACATACACATGGAAAATCATCATTGACTTCATGGATAAGGTTGCTCTTCAGTACACACTCTCAGATATTGATCACTATAGCAACATGTTCTGAAATACACATATCCCTTCTTAGCCCTCTAGCCACCAGCATATGACCCCGAATATGTACTAAGTCACACCTGTGCTTATGAAGCATGTATTATCTACTAGAGAAAACAAAAACTATCCAACCTGAGGAGCTTGTAGAATACCTCAGAATTTGTTTTGTTAAAACTATTCTTGTTCTGTACCCTTAGGGTTTTTTTTTTTTTTTAAATATTGGGATGGAATCTAACAGAGCTCTATCCCCAGCCCTTTTTATTTTTAATTTGGAGACAGGGTCCCACTAAGTGTCCCAGCTGGCCTCAAGTATGTGATCCTTCTGCCAGGTCTCCCACCACTCCCAGCTTTATGAATTTAAAGAAACTAAGATCTCTCCAAAATCTGATGCAATTAGAAATTCTGAAAAATGTCAGCATTGTGTTTTTCTTTTGTTTTAATAAGATCGTTACTTTTTCCACTTCTTGATGCTTTATGAACCTAAAGACATTAAAATTTTTTACATCCTATCAAAATTGACAACCAGCTTTTTGCTCCAGTACAACTCTATTTAAGGAATTCCCTAGGGGTGAATTTTTAGTGATATTGTTTTTAAAACCTTACCTACTGATATTTACAAGACAAGAGAGTTCAAGGTCCAAACTTTTTGCCCATAAAGACATTTCATCCCAAAGAAAAGAGCTGTTCTTTTCATGTTTTGTAAAACACTAAAAAGGGAAGTTTTATGGAAAAGGATTTAATGTTTCCCTTTGTTTGTGGGAAGATGTCTAAAGTCTAGGAATGAATAACAAAGAAACTGACAAATAATATGTGCATTCAAGTAGCATCTAAAATCTGAAGGCTCCAGACAGAATGATAGCCTTCAGAACACCTTATTCCTAAGAACACCTGTCAAGGTTCCTTCTAGCAGGCCCGTGAGGGGACACGACTAGTTCTTGGATGCCCCTTAGAATTGCTAGAAATTACTTTCCGAGGTCCTGTTTTCTAGAAATATATTCATCTTTTCTTTACTCTTCATACCCACTAGGTATTCAAAAACAGAAAACTTTCCTCAAGATGGGCAGCTTCAAGCTAAGGCAGCTTGAGCCACAGGCCAACACTTCAGGCAGGATTCCTGGCCCTAGTTACTAGGTTGCCCCGCTAACCCAAAGTCTTGGCTATCAACCCGGAAAGCCAGGAAAACAGCCAGGGTTGCTCTGGTTCCTATATTTGCCTTAGATTTAAGAAAGTTGGTGATTGAAAGGATAAGCAAAACTGAGGACATATTTCTAGTCCCTTTACCAAAAACGTTCAATGGAACTTACCTGTGAAGGGGGGCATGATATGCTGAGTTGGACAACTTCTTTGCTCATCGTTCTGTGCGAATCGAATATTTAGTAAACAAAGAAGTAAGTGACCACATTCAGTGACAAGTTTTTCTCCAGAGTTAACATTTCTAGGACTCCATGGGCTCTGACATTTGTGCTGCAGCAGCCACCAGGCTGCCACATGAAACACCACAGCCTGGGAGGGTGAAACAGTAGACTGCATTTCCTCACCCCTGGGAGGCTGGGAGTCTAAGGTCAAAGTCTGGTTTCTTCTGAAGCTTTGCCCCTTGGCTTGTAGACTGGCACCTTCTCACTGTGTCATCACAGTCCTCTCCCTGCTGCTGTTGTTTGAGTTCAATTTTTCTCCCTCACAGAGATACAGTTAGGTTTGGTTAGAGACCCTTTGACACCGCCTCATTTTACCTTCATTACACCCACTACCCAAGTATTGAGGGTAGAAACTAGCAGGTAGGAGAGAGCTTGGCCCCACCACTCATTAGCTGTGTGATTGTCAGCAAGCTACCTAACCTCTGTGTTGTTCTGTACTCTAAACTGTAAAGAATCAGCCTCCCAAGCACTGGGATTACAGGTGCACGTCACCACACCTAGTCTCAATCACTGTCTCAGCACAACTCAGGGGTGGGGCGGGCACAGCACACTGGGGATCAAACCCAGGCCACTGCGCTCTGCCTAAGCAGACGCTTTAGTCCACTGAGCTATCTGGCCAGCTCTGAGATACTTATTTAAGTCCCTTTTTATTCTAAACCTTAGATAGTAATGTTGCTATTATGTTTTATGATGCTCAAAGTTACCAGTCAGCAGTTGCATGACTTTAGTACATGTGATGGAATCTTAGGAATATATTTAAACTGTAATTATTGGAACCCAGTGACCTGATCGCCGGAATTTCATGAGATGTTTGTTAGAACCGTGGATTCCTAGCTCTTCATTTGGAGGTTTTAGATGAGGCAAAGAATCTGAGTTTTATTGCATGCACCAGGCTGTCTTTATGACCAGGTGAGCATGGGAAACAGTGTGACAGGCCCTGGCCCTGGAGCCAGCCCTTAAGCTCACAAGCAAAGGAAAGGAAGAGGACAGAAAGCAGACACTTAGCCATTAGAGTCACCATGGGCACTGGCTGTATTTATGTTTCTCAGTATTTCATGATGTTACAATTATCTAAAAAGATACAGATATAGATACAGATATATTCCACTGCAGAAGTATCATGAGTTCCTAATGAACTCTCCTTAAAAAAGAAAAATCTTAAGGAGCTTGGCATGATGGCACACATTTATAATCCCAGCACTCGGGAGGCTGAGGCAGGAGGATTGCAACTAGTTTAAAGACAGCTTCACATACATAGCAAGACCCTATCTCAAAAAACAACTTAAAGGGCTGGAGAGATAGCTTGGAAATATAAGGGCCTACCTGGAAAACACCAGGACCTGGTTTTGATCCTCAGTAACACATACCATGCCAGCCTGAAACCCAGGGTGTGCCATGCCAGCCACAAAAACTAGAGGTGGTGGCAAACACCTCTAATCCCAGTGCTGGAGAGGCTGAGACAGGAGGATCACTATGAGTGTGAGCTAGCAAGACACTGTACCAAATAAACAAATAAATAAATACATTTTAAAAAATAAATATGCACAATTTTTATGTTTTTATGCATTAATATAAAATAAATTTAAGTTTTTAAAATGATATATGTAATTAGAAATATTAAAAACAGAAATAAAAACCTTTTCCTTTCAGGATCTTTAAAATGAGAAATTCAATTCATTTTTAAAATATTGGATTTCAGAGGATCAAAGCAATGTCACATTAAGTATCTTTTTTTTTTTCCTTGTGAAAAACTAATTCTATTTCATGCTGGCAGAGGCAGCAGCCAGCAGCCAGAAGCCAGCTGGGCCACTCTTCCAGGTCTTTGAATGTCATCCAGTGGAAAGGGTTTTGTTTTGAGGCAGAGTCTTATTACATAGTTTAGGCTCGCCATGAACTTACTATGTAGCCCAGGCTGGCCTCATACTCTCAGTGATCCTCCTGCCTCAGCCTCCTCAGTGCTAGGATTACAGGTGTGTTGCACCAGCCCCAGCTTGAGAAAGGGTATGGGCGGAATGACAACATGGAGGGACAATCCATGAGGGACTTTCTTTTAGCAACAACCCAAATCCCTCCCCAATGTGTGCAAGAAGCCCCACCTAAGAGTCCACAAGAAGTTGAGGTAGACCATGAGGTTCTCAAGAAAAACAAGATGGGTGGGGAACAAAGGCTGGGAGGAGCCAGCCAGCGGGAACATTGACCTTCCAAGCTCCACATTCAAGGCACTTGTGGTGGGCTATGGCAGGTCCAGTCCTGCCTTAGTTTATGGACTGGTACTCTGAGGAATGTTTTTGGCACAGGAGCAGGACCATGCCTCCCCCCAGCAACATGAGTCCTGGAGTACCCAGAGCCACTGCCATGATTACCAGGATGAGGGGAGACAGTGCATCCACTGGAGGTGGGCCCACACCCAGAAACATTGACCAGCTAAGGTAATGTTGGTCCCAGCAGCCAGGGCCTGTGGAAGCCCCAAATGTCAGGCTGAAGGTACAGTAGTTTTGCTGGGGCCCAAAGCAGGCTTGGACAACAGATGACTGGGGAAGAGAGTGAGCCCAGGTGGGGTGAAGAGGGGAAGCCTGGCAGGACAGAGATGATGCACGGCCAGTCTGCTCCTGGGAGAAAGCCACAGGTCGCAACTGTGCAAAGTCAGATGGGAGGGAGCCCCACAGCAACTGGTCCAGCTGGAAGACTGCAGGTGCATATTCATCATCGATGAAATGCTGCTCCTGAATCACAGGGCAGCCAAGGTCCTGCTGTAAGGTAGCCACCGCTATCCCAAAGAGGAAGCGGTTTCCTCGGGGCAAGGCCCCTGCCAGGGCCACTTCTAGCTAGCAGGTGTCTGCTGTGTGCAACAGGCGAGGGGGCTGAGCAGCTCGGCCAGATCCAGCAAAGGCCTGGACCCTGAAGGCCAGGCTGCCATTGGCAAAAGCCCCTCGGGTCATCTTTAGGGTGGCCCTGAAAAGTGGAGCTCAGGGCATCAAGATGCAATGAGTCGGTGATGTTATTTCATGAGAACTCGGCCAAGGAG